ACTTTACTTGTACTATCACTTGATAAAATGGTATTTTATCGTCGACCGAAAAGATTAATTCACGAGCCATGAAATCGCGAGTGAATTAATTTCGGGAGACGATAATGCAATTTTATCGTCGTGTATAAAACAAAATTTTTTTCCATAGCGAGTTACGTTTTAAAAAATATTCAGAAATTATTATTTCAAGGAATTTATTACGAATAGAAAAAATATTGGGCTGGGTTGGCGTTGGTTTCTATGTAATTTGACAAATAAATAAAGCTGTCTCTTTAGTTGTCAGTTTTGAGTCAATATTTTTTAATTCTCTTTCGTGTCGATTGCTGATTGAATTGGAGCCAGAAATGGCTCAAAACTAAATAAGTAAATTACCAACAGATATTCAGGCTGAGGCGACAAAAGCCATATCCAAACTACTTCCATTTAAACTCCGAATAACTTATGAAAAGGAATACAAAAATTTTCACAATTGGAAGCAATTATAAAACGTGCGAGAGGAAATAAAGTTTTCAACCTATCCTCGCTGTTAAAGTATCATTTAATCTACCCTTGCGGTTAAAGTACTATTTTATCTACTATTTTTCATAAGTAATAGGCAATAATAAGGCAATAATATATAAAATAATAAGACAATTTTAACAGTTACTATGAAAAAAAATATAGCACTTTAATCTTGACAAAAAAATTCTCCGTTGCGTTTTTTGCATGTGAGTGTATTTTTATTAAAGTGATTAGTATATTGAAAATATTATTATTAACTACAAACCTGCTACAAACCATTCACAATTGTCAATTATTATAAAACCAACTTGGCGATACACGATCAGTATTCGCAACCTGCGCGCTGTAATTGCCAAATGTTTATTTTGTTCAGTATGTGCCGGAATTGGTGGAAATTTTAAAATAACTGTATTTTCCATACAATAGTCTCTGCACTATGCCATTAAGGCAATCATGGCTTTAATGCTTTCAGCCATTCAGCCAGGGCGTCATTTGTAGTTAATTGAGTTTATACTAGGAATTTTATCTCTATATTTGGTACGGATTAGATACATGTTTGCACAAAATTGGTAGACAATAATGAATAATAAAAAAGTATATTATTCAACGAGCATATAATGGTGGCTGTTATTCACGTCGATGAAGTTTATATTTAGTTTGGTTTGGTTTGGTCATAAATCATCCAAGTTAATAACAGCCATTATATGCTAGTAGAATACTATACTTTATACTATATTTTATCCAGGACTATCATAAAAATTTATATTATATATATATATATATATATATATATATATATATATATATATATATATATATATATATATATATATATATATATATATATATATAATTATTATTATTAATTTATTACATTAATTTATTTATTATGTTTTTATTTTTAATGTCAAAAAATACTGAACTAGACTCGTATAACGAGTAAGTAATATGGAAACAAAATTTTCTTAAACTAGGTAGCTAACTAATTTAGCTTTAACTAATGAGGAAGATGCATATATTTTATTTTTCGCCAGAAACTGTTCAATTTATTAGAATAAATATGTGTAAATGCAAAAAAAACTTTTTCTTGAAAGCAGTTTTATAAAACGGGCCATTAAAATACTATGGATAACGCAAACGACGCCTCGCGAATTGAAACGATATTCTATTGGTCTGACGTCACCCGCCGTTCTCGTCGATGCGCGATGGCCAGCAGCAACCAGACGTGTTCCGTTTATGTACGTATTTAGGTGGCATACTAAGACATTTTTGTTGCTTTTAGCGTTGATTGAAGGAGCTTTTTATGCTTTATTGTGCAGTTATTATTTGTATGTGTTGTGTGTTCTGAGAATTTTTTAAGTAATGGCAGATTCCGGGTTTGTAAAAGCACAATCAGATAACTTGCCAAAAGTCGATGCTGTTATGTGGGCTGCTTTATAAATACAAATTCCCAATTTATTGGTGCTGAATTACGAGGAAAAAAACAGAGAGGTATGTAACATTTATTCTTTGTAGTACTGAGGCATATTTAAGTAAAAGTAGGTACCTACTGTTACGAACTTTTATATAGTTATAAATATTAATGTTATAAACTTATTTTTCAGATCAGGTAGGGAGACGTATGGAGATAATGCTGTAGGTTATGTAGAAGTGAAAAGAGACAAAAATATTTGTTTAGTACGTGGAAAAATAACTCCAGAGCATAGCGTGAAAAAGAAAGTTTTTTTATATTGACACCCCCTTACCCTTGTTATTTTTAAAGATTGTTTTTTACGAAATATAGGAAATAAATTGTTTATCAGTAATGAAAATATTATACAAGGTGTCCCATAAGCAAACGCCAAAATTAAGTTACTTTTTTAAGTGAAACACCCTATATATTTTTGGATTCTTCGGAAATTTCTAGATATTCTAGATATATTTCATGTATAATATCCTATACCTATCTTCAAATGTTTACGAAATATTGATAGTTGAAAAGCGAAAAATACCTACAATTTTCTGGACCACCTTTTTTGAGACACCCTGTATAACTAGAATTCATTTTAAAAGAGAGTATATGAAAAACCATGCAACTTTTTTATTTAATGTTTTCTTCTAAAACTTGCAGTTAAGGCTGTATGTGGGTGTCAAAATATAATGAATAACCATTGTAATGTACATTCAAATTTCATATACCTATGTAAGACAATATACATAAATATATGAATTTACATTAAAATGATCTTCACAACAATAAATCGTAAAAATAGAGGATAATTTAACGTTTTTCTTTTCATCTCTTCTCATGGCCTTGGACCATTTTTTTCTGTTTTCGCTCATCCATTACTATTTATAAATATCACTAATTACTAATTATGTATTAATTAATACAAATAACTAAAATTTCGACTCGGATTCAACAGCGTTTAAAAGCAAACTGTGTAAAATAAACACGCGTCTGGCTCCACTCAACCACAAGAACGGCGGGTGACGTCACAGCGGCTAGGCGAGGTAGAGAGCGTTTGCCCGGCCATTTAAATTAACAATATTTAATTGTTTTATATTAGAGGCATTTCTTAACCGATATCAACAATTTTTTTTTGTTCAATTTGTAATTATATGAACTATTTTTTAAAACCATTATTTAAAAACATGCATTTTCCTCATTATAACAAAACCAAGCCGGTTTGGATCGAACACAGCTCTTGTTTGGAGTTTGGATCGAGATATCCGTGGAAGCGGTGAATAATGAAACCATTATTCACTAGTAAATAATGAATATTATTATTGTTTCATAAACTCATGTATAATATCAAATTATTGACGAGTCGTGGATAAATAAAATTTAATTAATTTTGAACATTAAGTTTCTTTTATTCGGAACCTCAAAGCTAGTGGAATAAATTAATGGTTTCAGTTAATGTTAAAGTTTACTCTTCTATTGTCAATGTCGCATCAAAATTAGCAGTAGTGATTTTCAATTAATAGAAAAAGTTAACATACTTTTAACATTTTTCATTATACAGGGTGGTCCGAACTGTATTCCGGAAACTTCGGCAGCATATTCTGCACATAAAAATAAGATAATAATATATAAAAATACCTATATGTCCCAAAATATTTCGTTTCGGATATACAGGGTGTAAAAGTTTCATTTTTATTTCGATTTTTTTTAAATAATTTCCACTGAGTAAAAAAAATATACATTTACCTAAAAAAGTCTCTTGGTAAAAACCGCTACGAATAATGGTTCTCGAGATATTTGGAATCGAAATTATCAATACTTGTTATCACTGGCAAATAAAAAACGTGTTGACTAAATAGTTAGAGGTCACAATAGACTGAAATCATAAACTTGAAATGTTATTGTGCCAAAAGTTTAACAGAAACTGTTTCATCGTCATTTTTTCGAGGAAAAATTTATGATTAATTTAAAAAAATAAGAAGTTCCTAAATTTCTCATTTAAGTCAAATAAATATCTACTCATATGTTTATTTTTTGTCAATAATGACATATATTGACGATTATGTTAGTCTAATTAGAATGGAAATATTCTAAATATCTTGAGAACGGTTGGTCTTAGCGATTTTTACCAAGAGACATTTTTTACGTAAAAAACCATGAAAATGTATACTTTTCACTCAGTTGTTTTATACAGGTACGAACGAAAAGTTATTACTCTTCAAAACAGTTAAAACATATGTAGGTGGCGCCCCTTACAAATAGGAGTCATATTGATATCAAAATCAAATTTCTCAAATCAAAAAACTTCCAGACACCAATTCTCATCCAAATGTTGATGTTACTTCAGAAATTATTTGAAAAAAAATTGAAATAAAAATGAAACTTCTACACCCTGTATCTCCGAAACTAAACATTTTAAGACATACATTTATACAAACTTTTTTACTTATTTTTATCTGCAGAATATTCTGCTGAAGTTTCTGCAATACAGTTCGGACCACCCTGTATACTTCAAAATTTGCGATTGTCATTTTGGCCTTTGATTATCATCTTGTCAAGAGAAATTGTGGTTAGTAATAAAAATTTTTTATTATTTTTATTGTTAAAGCTTATTATTAGGCTTTTTTCTAGAGACACAACTGACTACCGCAAGCTGTGGTTAACACATTGTGAATGATCTTAAATTCATAAGTATAAAGTATAATTGTTGAAACTACTAATTTATTGAACTAATTTTAAGGTACTGAATCAGTAACTGCCAAGAAACAATAACAATATAACTTTCCAATTATAGTGACATCAGAAAAAACAATAAACAAAAGGTGTGTTGATTCGAATCAAAAGCAAAAAAAAAATTGTTAATATAAGACTGAGAAGACGTTCGTCATTTTATTCCCTCAATTGAGTATCTTTATTTACAATGAATTTACGTTGAAGCAATGGACATTTGTTAAACATAACGTTCTTTGTTAATAAATATATAATCTTTCTTCGAAGACTTACAATGATCCAATAATTAATTAATAAAAATACACGTAAAAAGCAACCTTACCTTTAAAAAATAGAACAATTTCTGGACAATTTCTCTAGGTAGAAAGAAAGGTTTGCCAAACGGGGTACGCCTCCCTAAATCGACTGAGAGACAAAACCCAGATCGCGCTACGTAAAAACCGCTCCCAGAGTTCGGGTTCGAACCGCGTCGCTCTATATTCCGCCGACGACTATCCAGAGGCTCTGTGCTCTGTCGCTCTGGACCATAGAGGCGCCAGCGCACACACTCTCACACCGCCCTTGGAAGGATGGGCACATCTGGTGTACCAGAGCGGAAGGAAGGAAGACTAAGGTGGAGGACGTTGTTCTAGAGAACGTAAGACGAAGGATTATAGTACAAGAAGTTAGGGGTTATGGTCGTTGATAAGGAGAGGTGCCTCATGAACAGATAGATTGTGAAAGTTTTTATAAAGAAAGGTAAATCGTACATCATACATAGATAATTATACTGTGTGGCAGGAATTGTAATACCCAGTAGAAAAATGTAGAATGTTTAGGAGGTGAGTTAATCACCGCGACCTTACAGATTTATTGTGTTCCCTTTTCTTGAGATATAACTCATCATACAGTCTCAAACAAAATCCAGTATCTGAAACGGTGTTCTGGTATTTCCCCATTTTCCCCACAGAATCTGCATTCGCCGTTGTTTCTCAGCTTAAGTCTACTGAAGTGTTCGGATTGTCACGGGTTTCCTGTTAGAAACCCCGTGACAATCCGAAGGTTGTTTTTACTTAAATCAAGGAAAGTTTTTTATTTTTCTCGGTTGTAGGTTCTGAGGAACTATTTCGAGTGTCTTAGACCGCTTGAGGACACCCATTCCAGGTTACGGATGGAGTCTTCCAGGTTCTTCAGTTGGTCCCCGCTTGGAAAACAGAACGGTTCTGATCCAGTCAGTGGAGTGTTCTCTCCTTTTCTAGCTAGATCATTTGCCTTTTCATTGCCTTCTATCCCTTGGACTAATTTGTTGAACCTCTCTAGGCATTCTTTGGTACTTTGGCCAACTTGTTAGCCAACGAATTGATGGTTACTGAGTTGATCGCGTTTAGTGCTGCTTGACTATCGGATAAGATGGTTATTTCCTGTTTTCGATAGTTCCTATCTATGATTAATTGTACGCATGTTTCGACAACGTAGATTTCTGCCTGAAGGATGCTGAGGTAGATAAACATTGACCTAAAAATTGTCGCAGTACTGTTTCCGTCAGTGACTGTAATCATTGTCACATTGGTATAATTACCGACGACAATGTGCAGTGGTGCTAGGTCTCCCTGTATACTTAGCTATATTTATGGTTTTATCTGTTGATGGTCTTGATGAAGTGTAGTAAAAGATTTCATTTTTATCCCAGTCTGTTTACAAATATCCAGACTTTATTTAATTATAAAAATACTTTTTTTTTAATTTGGTGGAAGCAAATCCCCACCAAATTTTTTGGACAAAAACTTAAACCCTCAATCCTACATTAATAACGTGGTACAACCTGTCGCGTTGCTCTACCTTCAGCAGCTGCAAGATCTAATTTTCCAGCAAGGCAATGCGCGATGCAACCCTTCTTTTGTAACCCGCAAGGTCACCAGACAGACTTATCGCTTATTTAACATACCTGTGATGTAATAGGTAGGTTGCCACATCTTATACTAGATGTACAACGTCTATGTATGTATCTGAAAATAACGTTCTCCACTTTAGTTTTTCTTCTGTTCTGTTGTTGTACGATAACACCAATAAAGCTGAATAAACTCATTTCTACACATAATTTATCTATCTATGATTCACCTTTCTTTATAAAGACTATCACAACACATTTGTATATGATCAACGTTTCCTTCAATAAATAAGAAATTCAACGAAGTTTTTGTGCACTTTTCCACACACAATTTCAAGTCCAGTCAAAAATTATAAAATTTATTATTTGTTATACATACATTTATTCTTTGAAGTAGGTTCTGCAGATCTTTACTATTGTCTGTCATTACTACTGTATCGTCAGCATAACCATTTTTGATTCCCCCCTTCCAAAGCTTCTTGAAGAATTGTTAGAAGGAGAGACAAGATGCATTCCTGACGCAGACCTTGTTGTATTTGTGTATTTTCAAAAATCATCATCTAATCTGATCTTAGCGGTTTGTTTTCAATACAGGTCCGATATCAATCTTATGTCTCGACTATCAATATTATTTTCTTTGTAATATTTCGATTAGTTTATAATCATCTGCTGATGATACTAACATGGTTAGCGAAACGCGCGTCCACTGTAAAAGTAAAAGTGTTTTGGTGTATTTTGGTGATTTAGTGTTTTATTTTGATATTCAACTACGTTGTTTTTGATTAGTGCTTGATAGAATATAGATAATAGATAGATAGCTTCATAGAAAGATTACTAAACTATATGTTTTTGAAATTAGCTAAAAATCGGGTGAAGCTAAAATATGTTGGGGTGTTCATTTAAAAATATTCAATATGGCGTTGAATTAGCTAAAAGGCGTAAGGCGTAATTAGTTAAAATTACATTAAAATATCTTTTTACTATTTAAAATAAACAGGGAAATTGTAAATTAAGTGACGCACTTGAAAATGATGTCCCTGTACATTTGTAGGAGATTTGTCACTAATAATAGCATTCTTCACTTTCGTCTTCCTTCTGTTATGTTATTGTAGCACTGACAAAAACCGTATAAAAACTCATTTCATTGTTCATAATTTATCAATTTATGATTTACCTCTCTTTACAGAGACTCAAACAATACAGGGTCGCTGATATGTATAAAAACGGTCGATTATTGGATAAAATATACAAGGTACCGCAAAAAGTTAAATATAAAAGTTATATAGGGTTTTTAAATGTCTATTTGCGAGTAATAAATTTAAGAATACAGGGTCGGTTACAAAGTCGTGGTTGATGTGTCATGACTTTGTGACCGTTTCATTTTTTTAAATGGAACCCCCTGTATATTATTGCATATTTCAATTTTTCCTTCAATTCTAAGCAAAAACAGAAATACACACAGTGTACTTCAAACTAACCGTTTCCGAGTTATTGACTTTTGAAAATATCACTTATACAATTCGATTTAATTAATTTCAATGTTTTCGGTTTCATTTAACGATGCCATTCTGCGGAAACTGTGATACTCAGTACTATTTGACATTAGTTTTCAAGTTAGTATTTATATAAAATGAGATTATATCAAGTCTGGAAATTACAAAATTTTTCGTTTAAGATGTTAAAACCAAAATTCGATTTCTTGGAAACGGTTGGATTTAGGTACAATATGTGTATTACAATTTTTGCTTATAATTGAAGAAAGAATTGAAATACCCAATAATATACGGGGGATTAGATTTATAAAAATGAATTTTTAATGTGCCACGACTTTATGACCCACCTTGTATACTTAAGTTTATTACAAGATGTTAGGCATTTAAAAACATAATAATTTTCTTATTTAACTTTTTGCGACCGATTTAACTTAATAATTGACCGTTTCCATCTAAATGGAATCTATAAAAGAATGATAAAATTCAAATTAATATTTTTTTGAAGCAGAGGAATTAAATTTGTGAGTTTACGCGCACATGTGTATATTTATTGAAACTTTATATAATTTGTAGGTACAATTGTATTATCTTGTAGTTAAACTGCCGAGTACGGTTAATAAATCCAATCGATCGAGTGTTATTTTAAAGCGAATGTTTCGTCGGAGAGCGACGCTGTCGAAAAAGTAATTTACTGCAAAACTATCTCGTCTGGATAAATCACAAAACTCAATTTGGAGCGGCTCAAGCGGCCGAATTAATTCGGGAAATCTTTTTGGAAAATGCTTTGGATCAGCAGTGAAAAGTGTATCGCTTTAATTTATTTGATGGCGGAACGAAATGAGATTCGCCCACTATTTTCGTAGCACGGATCTGTCGAGATTATCCTATGGAAAACGTATCGAGTTAGCTCTATTATCTTTTTTCTTCTTTTGGTATTTTTTATTTTGGGAATATTTTAGGTTATGAATACGGAACACAGACAATACTCCTATTTATCGACTTCCAGCAGGCATCATCATCATCATTTAGCTTATTCCGTCCACTGCTGCACAAAAGCCTCCCTCAACTCTAGCCATTTCTTTCTATTTTGTGCCACTTGAATTCAGTTTCCAGCCACTCTCTTAATATCATCTGTCCATCGACTAGGAGGTCGTTCTCTGTTTCTATAGACCTCGTATCTTGGTCTCCATTCCACAAATCTTTTTGTCCAACGTCCATCTCTTATCCTAGCCACATGTTCTGTCAAATTCCATTTAAGATGTAAGACAGATATCACCGTATCTCTTACTCCTGTTCGATTTCGTATGGTATGATTGGGTATTTTACCCCTAAGTGTAACTCCCAACATAGACCTTTCCATTTTTCGTTGCTTAACCTGTATTGTGTGTTCTTTTTTGTATATATCTTTTTTATAGTATATACAATATACAAGGTGGTCAGAGTTGTATTCCAGAAACTTCGGCAGCATATTCTGCAAATAAAAACAAGTAAAAAAGTTCGTATAAATGTATGTCCCAAAATGCTTAGTTTCGGAGATACAGGGTGTAGAAATTTCATTTTTATTTCGATTTTTTCCAAATAATTTCTGAAGTAACGTCAATATTTGCATGAAAATTGGTGTCTGGGAGTTTTTTGACATGAGAAATTTTATTTTGATGTCATTATGACTCCTACTAGTAGAGGGCGCCACCTACAAAACTTTTAACTGGTTTGAATAGTAATAACTTTTCGTCCGTACCTGTATAAAACTACTGAGTAAAAAAATATACATTTGCGATTTTTTTACGTAAAAAAGGTCTCTTGGTAAAAATCGCTACGAGTAATGGTTTTCGAGCTATTTGGAATTGAAATTATCAATACGTGTCAACATTGACATAAATTAAACATGCTGACTAAACAGTTATTAGACTGAAATCAAAAATTTGAAATGTTTATATACCAAAAGTTCAACAGAAACTGTTTTATTATAATTTTTTTGCAGAAAAATTTATGATTAATTTAAAAAAAAATTTCTTAAATTTATTATTTCAGTGAAATAACTCTCTACTCAATGTGTTTATTTTTCGTCAGTAATGACATGTATTGTCTATTTCCATGCTAAATATCTTAAGAAAGGTT